GCAAAACCTTTTCTAATTTAAAAAGTGCAGGAAAGGGTTAGAATATTTGTGAGGTTCTGCCTGGATTTGGGCTTTGACTTTCCCATTGTAAAGCAAAAAGTAAAACCCTTTAAATTTATTTATTTCAGGTACTTATATAGCGCCGTCAATTTATGCAGCACTTTACATACAGCGGCGGACTGACAAAAACTTATACCAGGGGGGGCCCCCGGGCAATAGGGGATCATGGGGCCCCTGTGTCCTTGCCCAAGCTCAAAAAAGCCTATGAAAAAGGTACCAGGGGTATCTCATGGGGCCCCCTGCTGACCCCGGGCCCTCAGGCAGTGCCCAAGTTTCCAAATGGTCAGTCCGCCCCTGTTTACATATATATTATATATTCACATCAGTCCCTAACCCTCAAGGGGCATACAATCTAAGGTCCCTAACTCACATTCATACATACAGTATATACTATGGCCAATTTAGACAGGAGACAATTAACCTAACAGCATGTCTTTGGAGTGTGGGAGGAAACCAGAATACTCAGAGTAAACCCACGCAGACACAGGGAGAACATGCAAACTCCAGGCAGGTGGTGCCGGGGTTGGGATTTGAAACAACGACCCCTAGTACTGCCAGGCAGAAGTGCTAACCATTTAGCCACTGTGCTGTCCAAATGTGTGAATATGAATAGGATCCATTCAGATGGCATCATAGGGTAAGGATTAAAGAAAAAACAAACAAACACAAAAAAAAATTATTATTTATATATATATATATATATATATATATATATACCGTATATATATCAATTAAAAGACAATCTAGGTGACTATCCAAATGAAGGACACATTTTTTAAAATTTGCAATACATTTATTTGAGCCTGTGTAGCTTCCAAGGTTATACAGTGATTCATGCAGATATACAATGCAGTACCATATTTTAAAGCATTATTATGTTGTAAGTATACACTATTTTACATTAAAATGTTATGAGAACAGAACACTATTAATTTATATAGTCAAAATTGCAAAAGCTTGTTTTGCACTATACGCCATTCATCTACAAAAAATATTGGATCTGTAGCGTTCTTTGCAAGGCGATATAATGTTACCCACTTTTGAAAGTATAGTCCCAATTTTTGCAGACACACAGGGGTAGGGTTCAACTGCGTGAATGCATTGTCACAATATTGCACATGAAAATATTAAGATATATTTTATCTCCACTTAATTGTTATTATGATAATTTTGAAATGCAAAACAGAACACATAACTCAATATGTTAAGAGGTTAATTGGTTGCTACCACATCAAAGCCGATAGTCGGGTTCAGTTGACTTCTACCATCAACAAGCAGTTTGGTCCACTACATGTGTCCTTGCTCACATTTTTTCAGACATCAGGGCATCGAGCTTGAAGGATTCAAAACTATTCTGGTTTATTTTTGTGAGAGTACTTTGAGGTCCTTAGCCAGATCTAAAAGAGAAACACGGAACATTGGAAAAAGGAGCTAAAAACTACACTTGCTTGGTAAAAATGCTGAATAATAATGTGTAGTATTTTATATTTAACTAGAAAAAGTAAATGCATGGCTGCAGCATTTGGTAGAAGATTTGAGGATTGTGTTGGGGCATATGCAGTAAATGGGGAGGGCAACTGGCAAAGCCTGTTAATGTTCATTTTTGGAAAGGAAGCATTGTTATCCTAAAACTTTCAGTGAACTGGAGCAAGTATGCATATCAAAAGCTTGTTCCGGATCAATGATGGAGAGTGTGAAATCTAGTGCAGCTCTGCATAGAAACCAGGGGCGGACTGACCATTTGGAAACTCGGGCACTGCCCGAGGGCCCGGGGTAAGTAGGGGCCCCATGAGATGCCCCTGGTACCTTTTTCATAGGCTTTTTTGAGTTTGGGCAAGGACACAGGGGCCCCATGATCCCCTATTGCCCGGGGGCCCCATGAGTTGTCAATCCGCCGCCCCTGATAGAAACCAATCAGCTTCCAGGTTTTTTTTTGTCAATGCAGATTGACAAGCTGAACTGAACAAGCTGAAGTTAAAAGCTGATTGGCTACCATGCACAGCTGCACCAGATTTTGCACTCTCCAGTTTTAGTAAATCAACATGTGCATACAGTGGGGTGAGAAAATCAAAGTGCATACAGTGGGGTGAGAAGATGTTGTAGGGGGTGTGACTGTCAGCATTGTCACTGCTGATTCACAAGCCTGTCAGTCAGCACTTGGCCACACCTATCCCCACCCACTGCTTTCTTGATTGACAGCACTGACTCTGCTGATGAAACCCTCCCACTATGAGCTGCAGTGTCTGGGAGGGGGAACATGTGAGACGTAAAAGAAGGAGAATTTAGCTCAGGGAAGTTAAAAGAAGATTTAAAAAAAATGTTGCATCACATAGTAACTGGATTTGGTAGTTGCTTAGGCTGTCAGACAGGAGCCTTTAAAGGTATAAGAGCTGCAAAGAACAGTAATACTTAATTAGCTCTCCTAAGAGACATGTCAAGCAAATTACAGGAGACCTTTAATGCTACATATTAATTATACAACTGATTTAATAGCAGCAAAAACAACAGGTTTTCACCCAGCCTATGTATGTTCTTGTCATGTGTTCACAGTGGTATAATTATGCGCTGTTCTGGATTGCTGCATATGAATGGGACTTGCACTTTAAAGTGTATTTTTAGCCTGTAGTTAAGCATTTTTCACAAAGGAATTTGACGATATAAATAAAAGCCATAAGGCTAAGTGCAGATTTTAAAGGGAATCTATCATGACAGAAATGTGAAATATCCATTGCTGACGTTTTTTGAAGGTTCATGCGCTGGATCCTCACATCCCTGCCCAATAAGTGATTAGCGTAAAGCAGGCATTTGCAAATCCAGAGTCCTGATACCTTATAGGTGTGTGCTTGTTCCGGGTCAGTCAGTAAAGCAAGGAGAGATCCCATAGTTCTGACCCTTTAAAGCCCAACTCCAGCTGTTGTAGTTTTGGAAAGTAGGAAAGGATTAGAACCTTTGTTTTTTTAATAGACTCTTTATTATTACATAAGTAATGTTAGGGTGTGCAAGTATAATAAATCAGACTACGTTCCAAGGTACAACTTGGTAGTAGCGCTTACAAACAGAATAAAATAAAATCTATAGATTTAGATTTTGGCTTTAAAAATACTCTCATGTAAGCTTGCTGACCCGTTCTGAAGTCCATGAGTTATTTTAATTAAGAGTTGCAATAACCTAAGCAGGGGCGGACTGACAACTCATGGGGCCCCTGGGCAATAGGGGATCATGGGGCCCCTGTGTCCGTGCCCAAACTCAAAAAAGCCTATGAAAAAGGTACCAGGGGCATCTCATAGGGCCCCCTACTGACCCCGGGCCCTCAGGCAGTGCCTGAGTTTCCAAATGGTCAGTCCACCCCTGGACCTAAGTAAAATTTGTATTACTATCTGTAGACACTCTGCGTTGAAAGTTAAAATGGTCAAAAACAGACAGAATGGATTTTAGTCTTTTAGATTGTAAGCTCTAATGAGCAGGGCCCTCTTTCATCCCTCCTGTATTAATTTGTATTGTAATTGTACTATCTGCCCTAGCTGCATAAAACATTGGCGCTATATAAATCCTGTATAATAATAATAGAGTGCTGCAAGTCTCGGAGAAAAAAAAAGGCTGCACAATACCAAACTAAGGGACAGAAGCGTGGTTAGGCAGTTTCAGGGTTGAGGCAGGCTCCAGAGAGAATTATGGTCAGATAGGCTTGAGGTCAAGGCAGGCTCGAGAGAAAAGTGTGGTCAGATAGGCTAGGGGTCAAGGCAATCAGCAGACAGAAGCATGGTCAGATAGCCTAGGAGTTGAGGTAGGCTGCAGGCAGAGAAGCATGGTCAGAAAAGCTAGGGGTCGAGGTAGGCGACAGACAAAAGCATGGTCAGACAGGTTAGGGGTCCAGGAAGGCTGCAGAAAGAAGCATGGTCTGACAGGCTACGGGTTGAGGCAGGCAACAGACAGAAGAATGGTCAGACAGGCTAGGGGTCAAGGAAGGCTGCAGAGAGAGGCGTGGACAGACAGGCTAGAGGTTGAGGCAGGCGACAGACAGAAGCATGGTCAGACAGGCTAGGGGCCGAGGAAGGCTGCAGAAAGAAGTATGATCTGACAGGCTGACGGTTGAGGCAGGTGAGAGACAGAAGAATGGTCAGACAGGCTAGGGGTCAAGGAAGGCTGCAGAGAGAAGTGTGGTCAGACAGGCTAAAGGCAGGCAACAGACAGAAGCATGGTCAGAAAGGCTAATGGTCGAGGAAGGCTGCAGAGAGACACGTAGTCAGACAAGCTAGAGGATGAGGCAGGCGAGAGAATTATGGTCAGATAGGCTTGGGGTCGAGGCAGGCTCGAGAGAAAAGTGTGGTCAGATAGGCTAGGGGTCAAGGCAAGCAGCAGACAGAAGCATGGTCAGATAGGCTAGGAGTTGAGGCAGGCAGGCTGCAGGCAGAGAAGCATGGTCAGAAAAGCTAGGGGTCGAGGCAGGCAACAGACAGAAGAATGGTGAGACAGGCTAGTGGTTGAGGAAGGCTGCAGAGAGACACGTAGTCAGGCAGGCTAAAGGATGAGGCATGCGACAGACAGAAGCATGGTCAGACAGGCTAGGGGTCAAGGAAGGCTGCAGAGAGAAGCATGGTCAGACAGGCTAGGGGTCGAGGAAGGCTGCAGAGAGAAGCATGGTCAGACAGGCTAGGGGTCGAGGAAGGCTGCAGAGAGAAGCATGGTCAGACAGGCTAAGGGTCAAGGAAGGCTGCAGAAAGAAGCGTGGTCTGACAGTCTAAGGGTTGAGGCAGGCGACAGACAGAAGAATGGTGAGACAGGCTAGGGGTCAAGGAAGGCTGCAGAGAGAAGTGTGGTCAGACCGGCTAGAGGTTGAGGCAGGTGACAGAGAGAAGCATAATCCAAACTATTGTCCAAGGGTAGAATTTAGGAAACAACAGAAAAGGGATACCTTCATGGGCCAGATTGTCCTTCCGCTATTAAACAGGATGGACAATGTTACGATTGCAGTGAGGCTGGCAGTGTGGATTCCACCAATGCTCATAGAATTGTTCCTCTGATCTCTGCTCCAGACGCTGGAGATACAGCATATACTCCTATAAAAAAAATAGAACAGACATGGTTTATCCAAGCTGTGCTTTAAAGCCTTTGTTTCTATTGTCCTACATTAGGCCAGATTAGTAAGGTATGGGTCACACATTAATAAGTCGCCAACGTGAGCCATTTTACGGTGGTACATCAGGAACACAGATCTTCAATGCCTCACAGTTCCAGTCCAAGTGCTGCAAATGAGATGACTGCTAGCAACAGTTAAAAGGGTCAGTCTACACAAAAGTGATATTTAAAGTGTTACTAAACCCACATTAGTAAAATCAATCTGTATATGCCAGGGGCAGACTGGCCATTTGGAAACTCGGGCACTGCCCGAGGGCCCGGGGTCAGTAGGGGGCGCCATGAGATGCCCCTGGTACCTTTTTCATAGGCTTTTTTTAGTTTGGGCAAGGACACAGGGGCCCCATGATCCCCTTTTGCCCGGGGGCCCCATGAGTTGTCAGTCTGCCCCTGGTATATGCAATAAAACATGCTTGTTATACTCACTGTGGAACCTAAGGAGTTAATCTTTCACACTGTGTAAAAAGGATGTTTGGTCCTGTCTTCTCTGATCCTCGCCTTCTTATACTATCCCCCAATCTATCTACTGAGAACAGAGTCTTGGGGGCAAACTGCTCATATTCAGTTTGGTGTGTATTGCTAGAGAGTTTTTTTTTGTTGGGGGGAGGGTGCATGTGATCAGCACAGGGACAATGAGCACTGTCCAGACAGAGGGTCAAGGGTTATACAGCCTCATGGGACAATCAGAGGAGAATGAAAATATAGTGAATGCAGGGTCCGGGGAGACCAGATATAGTGAATGCAGCGTCCGGGGAGACCAGATATAGTGAATGCAGGGTCCGGGGAGACCAGATATAGTGAATGCAGGGTCCGGGGAGACCGGATATAGTGAATGCAGGGTCCAGGGAGACCGGATATAGTGAATACGGGGTCCGGGGAGACCAGATATAGTGAATGCGGGGTCCGGGGAGACCAGATATAGTGAATGCAGGGTCCGGGGAGACCGGATATAGTGAATGCAGGGTCCGGGGAGACCGGATATAGTGAATGCAGGGTCCGGGGAGACCGGATATAGTGAATGCAGGGTCCGGGGAGACCGGATATAGTGAATGCAGGGTCCGGGGAGACCAGATATAGTGAATGCAGGGTCCGGGGAGACCAGATATAGTGAATGAAGGGTCCTGCCTTTAGTAACACTTTAAGTGTAGCGCTACCCCTGCTGAAGCCACTTGTGTCTTGCCCAGGTTTTCACCTAGATTTCCTCCCACAGCCAAGAACACCGGATTTCCTTAGTCAGGTGCACACAAATTCCACTCATTACTCCAATGATCAGTTTTGGGGTTGTAGCTTTTTGTTGTTTTATTAGTTTTTTTGGAACTGGGATAGGGAAGGCATATAGCATGATACTCTGAATCAAACCATGCACAATTGAGGACGGCTTTCTCAGAGTGGAACTGTGTAGCAGGCTGCACAAGAATGGAGCAAAGTCCCTCTGTAGAATTGCAGACTTAGTGGACAATTGCTCGTCTGGACACCATCATCCGTGTAGAACAGTCTGTACTCACAAGGCCCTTGCTGCAACTCACCTTCCTCCGTGATACCAGACAGGATCTATAGACATCCCCCACAGTCAGCTCTCAGCGGCACACTTGGTTTCAGCATTCTGGTCATCAGGTTGCCCACCTGAGGATTCCTGGCATTATGAGCCATGGAGCCAGCTGCCTACCCTGGTTGGAACTGCCTTCTCACAGGAAGAAATGGAAGAACCCAGATCACATGTGCTCATTGAATATAAATACTAGTACCCGGCATGCTCAGGGGCACCACTCCCTGTAATTGGCTGGAACTGCATCCATATTCATGCTGCTGATCTGCATGGGTCACTCCTGTTCACCCAGAACCTTCCAAGGTCTCCTGGATATGGAGGAACCAATCACAGCAGCAGCAGCAGCAGCAGCAGCAGCAGCAGCAATGTGAGCCATGCAGGATCTCTCACTGGACAACTGTAGCTTTCTGTTAAAGTGTTACTAAACCCACAACAGTACAATCAGTCTGTATATGCAGTAAAGTATGCTTATTATACTCACTGTGGAACCTAAGGGGTTAATCCTCTGCATTGTGTAAAAGGATGTTTGATTCTGACTTCTCTGATCCTCCCCTTCTTTCATAGTTTCCAATCCATTTGCTGATAGAACAGAGCCTTGGGGGGAAGCTGCACATGTTCACTTTGGTGTTTATTGCTAGAGAGTTTCTTTTTATTCTTTGGGAGAGTGCATGTGATCAGCACAGGGCCAATCAATGCTGTCCAGACAGAGGGTCAGGGGTCCTGCAGCCTCATAGGACAATCAGGAGAGAATGAAAACTCCTCCTACAAGCTTTAACCAGCGCTCAGCTGAACACTGATAGAAGTCACAACACTGCTTTAACTGCTGATGAGAAAAGGTATTTAGCAGTTTATATTCACTAAAATAATTGCATTTCCATGTTCTGTGTACTGTGGGAGGCCAGCCCACATGGAAGAAAAATATATTTGAAATATACTTTAAAACTATTCTTCCCAAATATATTGACATATATTTGAAATGCTACAATTTTGGCCATATTCAATATATTTCAATAAATATACAGTATGTTGAAATGGGTTTTTTATTACAAAATATATGAAAAATATTTTTAAAAATACATTTCAAATATACTGTATGTCTTTAAAAATACAAATCTACATTTTTGGAATGCATTTACAAATATATGTAAAAAAATATATGTTAAAATTACTTTTTTTATATGTTAAAAAAAATCTGAAGAATATATTTTAAAAAAATATATTTTTACAAATATCAGCGAGTGACATGTGACACCACAGGGGTGGTCTATGTTATCCTGTGGGGGTTCTTCTACATTGGCAAGACCATCCGGACAGCCTGTAGACGTCTACAGGATCATATATATGAAATTTTGACGTATCATTTGAAGACCTCCATTGCATGCCATGTGTGCTTGGAGCATGAGAGGGGCCCTAGGTGTTTGAGCTGTTGGGTAGTGGAGTAGGGGAGGCAATTTTGATCGATAATTGTTGCAACATGAGACCAGGTGGATTTGGGAGCTGGAGGCAATCACACAACCTGGCCTCAATGACAGTTTGGGTTTCTCCTCATTTTTGCCATTTTATGTAGTATTCCATAGTTGGAGACAGCTATTTATGTGGGATTGAAAATTAATAATTTTCCTATATAATATTCCCATAATCAAAAGCCTGTACTGGTGTGCTGAAGGACTGCAGGAGAAGCAACCCGGGGACACATGGGGAGGAAGACGGCAGGTATGGCTACGCATTTCAAAGCTGTGCATTATAAAAAGGGCAGACGGCTCTGAAATGCACAGCCATTCCCACTTATGACCTCCAATTGGGTCCCCGGCTTTCTTCAGCACAGCAGGACCTGCTTTTGATCAGACAATTTGACGGTTTGAATACCTGTATCTTGACATTGATCTGCTGATCCCCTGCGACCCCTCTGGAAGCTAATCGGCTCTACTTTGCAATATGCTGATATTGCAATATGAGCGAATATTGTTTTACGTTTTATTAAAGCTTTCATCATGATTAACACCACTTTGCACCCTGTGTTTGTGCTTTTACCTCTCCCCAAAGCTTTCATCTTTAACAAGTTAGCCAGTAAAGGGTATCACTTACAGCCTAACTCACATCAGATTGTTTACTTGAGCCAAGCTGGTGCAAATTCAATATTTAATTCCCTATCAAATGTAGCTTCTCTCAGCGCTGTATACATTGTATGTAGCCTCAGCATTCAGCACTGTGCTTCAGCAGAAAATGGGGACTTCCTGTCCTGTACAAACCAATGGCAACCACCCCAACCCATAACTGGCCTTTGCAGCAAGGAACACATGGAAGGGCAACGCATTTCAAAAAACAGCAAACACAAATTCCCAGCTCCCTTACCAACCAGCCAGCAAGAAACTGAATTAACCCTGTACAACAGTTCACGTTAAAACAAGGAGTTTGGTTTGCACACATTTGCAAATACATGCATACGTTGCAGAGGCCACATCATGACACCCCAGTGTACTGCTGTCCTAACAAAATTTTGGGGGTTTCCAAAGATGGTGCACATACACTCACTAGCCACTTTATTAAACACACCTATTCAATTGCTTGGTAATAGGGAAGAAAGGGGATTAAAGTGACTTTGAATGTGGCATGGTTGTTGGTACCAGACAGGCTGGTCTGAGTATTTCAAAAACTGCTGACCAACCTATAACTTACCTTTGCAGCAAAGAGCACATGCAAGGGCAACCAATGTTAAAAAACAACAAAACAAAAATTCCCAGCTCACTTACCAGCCAGCCAGTTTGTTGCAGGCTGGCTAGTAAATAAGCTGGAAATTTTTGTTTGTTGTTTTTTGACTTCCTATCCTGTTCCTGTGCTGCTCAACCATTAACTGGAAGCATTGTATTTTTTTTACACTGCTTCCTCCGATTGGCTGATGTCATCCACCTCTCCACCTCAGCCAATCTGAAGAACATTGGGGACCATGTTGTCACTTCACTCACATTGGGCATGATTGTCCTGGACCTTGTATAGCTAAGTTGTATGTACATTCACCTTGTGAAAAGTGGAATATTATTATTATTATACAGTATTTATATAGCGCCAAAGGGTTTGCTCAGCGCTGTACAATAGCAAGGGGGACAAGACATGAGAGAAGACAGAGACAGTGCGATACACGAGGGGTTCGAGGGCCCTGCTCTTTCGAGTTTACAATCTAGGAGGGAGGGGAAAGTGGTACAGGAGGAAGTGGCTGTGGGGGATGAGGTGGTGGGAGGAGTGGAGGTCAGATGTTAGGTGAGGGAGGGGTAGGCCTCCCTGAAGAGGTGGGTCTTCAGGGTGCTCCTGAAGGTGGTGAGGGTGGGTGACAGTCTGATGAATTGGGGTAGGGAATTCCAGAGGATGGGGGAGGTCCTGGAG